CACCACCACATCCAATGGCCATTACTCTATTGAACACCCATATTTTACATTGAGCTTATATATAATCACAAGAAGCTAAAAATTGATGACTAGGAATGTGGGTAGCAAAGTTTGGAAGCTTCACAAAAACCCTCAAATTTTGAGCTCAACCAATGCCACAAACTATATACCTCTCATAGCCTATTACTCAAAGCACTTTGAAGCACTTGCAGACAAGTAAATAAGACATACATATTACATCTCAAACAATGAAATTAATCATTTTTTGTTGAGTTTAAATATTGATTTTCATTTAGCAATACTTTCACTTATCAAAAGGAGAGAGGTGTTTTCTCTAATGCACTGTGGGTGCACCTGCGCACACCTAATCCCTCTCCTACTACTGCTGCCACATATGACCGATCGTTTGGCTTTGTTTTGGGTCAAAATTTCCCACTGGCTACCCTCAAATGCTTGCCGTCATGATTAGCTTTGCTAGTAAATGATGCATCAATTACAAAATAGAAGAACCCGTCATCATCTCACCTATCAACGGCAACTTGTCAATGAAGCAACTATCTATGAATTTGGAGAACCATTCCAAATGGCCTGCATCATTTTCCTGAGAAGAGGAAAAGAGACAATGGAAAAAAATCCAAAAACTCAATCCATTATAGATTTAATAAACAAAAGAAGGTGGCAAAGGAGATACTAAGATTGGCGATGAGATCAACAGAAGGGAGGAAAGGGTAATTATTGAAGGATGTGGCAAATAAGGTGGATTAATGAAATGGATTTTGAGGCAAACAAAGAAGTTGCGGCACTCCATAGTTGAGGGGGAGAGGGAGGGAGGAGGAGGAACTGATTAGAAGGAGGTGGTGATGAGTTGGAGCATTTAGTGTCATAGCTGCCACGTCTTTCACCATGTGTCATTTTGGAGTCATAATTTTAAACTTAACAGTCAACGTTTAGGGTTTATTCATGAAGGGCAATACTGCTGCGATTTTGGCACTTTTGGGGCAACATTGCTTCAAAAAAAAACTTCCTGATAACTAGTGCCCTTTTGAGAAAACTTCTGGAACAAAAATGACCTTTATCCCTATATAATAACTTAGGATTTTGAAAAATCTTCTTACATTTTTAGTAATTATAATGACTAAAGTATACATTTAGTCATTAACTTTATAGAGTTTAATTGGGTCCCTTAACTTTAAAAGGTATACTTTTAATCGTTTAACCCCAAAATTATTAACAAAAAATGATAACATTAAGGTCTTATTAGCTATAGGTTGAATAGCATTATGGGAAAGTTAGTAGGCATCACAAGTGTAACTTCATAGCAGGTTGGCAGAGGTAGTGACAACATCAAGAACTCAGGAAGTCATTCATTCGATAAAGAGGAAAACGAGTAATGGAGGATGGTTAGCAGCCAAAGTAGACTTGAAAAAAGCTTATGATGGGTTAGAATGGGCTTTCATCAATGATAACCTAAAAGCAGAAGGGTTAGAGGATAAGCTAAGAAATCTGATCATGATGTGTATATCGAGTACTTCGGTAACAATAACAGGTGGATAATGTTTAGGGAAAAAAATTTGGCAGAAGCAAGTTTCGGAGAAGATCAAGTCCTTCATGTGACTATTCTCATATGGAAAAACTCGTACTATGTAACTCTCACAAATGAGGGGATCGAAGGTGACAACAGATTGCCCCTTTGGATGTAAGGAGTTGGAAAATCATATGCACTTGATTTGAGATTGTTCTAATGCTATTCATAGATGGTAGTCAATGGTTGATCTGATGTTTGGGACTCATTTTTCTTCCCTCTAAGGAGTAGACTGATTCAAATGGAACCTTAGCAAGGAAGCCAGCAAGGCTTTCATAAAGAAAAATCAACTAGCCATCTCTTTTTGGCTACATTTGCTGGGATATATAGGGTCACCAGATGCAACAAACTTTTGACATTAATGTTACCAATAAGGTAACTAATGTTCTTTCAAGCTTCTTTAGAGCATGTTAGGACCAAGATATGGTAGCAAACTGTTTTTCTATAGTAGGGAGCATAGGGGGAAGGCAAGAGCATTAGAGATCACAAGGTCATTATGTCACTCTAGAGGTGGATGGATCGATATTACAAGATGGACGAAGTAGTTGCGGTGGAATCATTAGAGATAAGGAAGGAACATGAATTTGCGACTTCAGTTGCAAACTCACAGCTATTGCAGAAGTCCTAGCCATGATGCAAAGACTACACCTTTGCTGCTCAAAAGGTTTAAGGTGGGCTATTCTCTATTCTGATGTATTGAAGCCATAAAACTTAGTTTTGTGTGGCTGTGATTAAGAGCATCCTTTCCACGACACTATAAATTACTTAAGGTTGCTACTTAGCCTTGATTGGCAGGTCTTGCCGACTTTTTCCTATAGGAAAGGCCTCATTTTTGCTGACCATTTAGCTAAGATTTCTCATGGGCTGGACACTCCTTTTTGTATGTTTCATCACCCTTCACCTTTTTAGGAAGAGGAAGAGCAAATGATGATGAGAGACTGAACCAACAACTTGTTGTACTGTTGATTGTGTAATGGATATAGCTTTTCTATTAAAAAGATATTGATAAAACATTCTCAAATACTAACATATTAAGTTTAATTTTCAAAATAACTATAATTGTTAAAAAATCATTATTTAAGCCTAACTATAATTGATTTCCATTCCAAGAAGAAAAAGACATATATCTTTGGAAAAAGTTTGTAAAAAGAGCAAATGTATGATTTTTAAAGTTACGAAACCAAATTAAAATCATGTGTATAGTCAAAAGACTAAATATGTACTTTAGCCAGTTATAATTGTAATTTGACTTTCTACAGATTATATGTTTGAATATGAATTAGTTTTAAAGTATTTGATAAAAAATTACATGACTTGTGATTAATTAAAAATAAAAGATAATTTTTTATATATTACAATGTTTTCATATTTACCCCCAAAATTTCTTTAAATTTTGGATAATTAATTAATCAATTTACTAAAAGTTTATTAGTTAATTTATCTATGCCTTTTGTACATTGTTAGTCCATCAACAAGTAGCCCATAAAACAAATAGAAATAGTAAGAGGGTGTTTAGATTAACTTTTTAGAAATAATTTTATAGATTCTGATTATAAGTATATGAGAGGAGTTTTGTCTTAACTTGTATAAAAACACCATTTTTAAGTGCCTTTTTATGTTTCCAAATACCCCCTAAGTAATAATTTTAAACATATTAATTCAAGATTTTTTGAGTTTAAGGTTGCAGAATGACACAAATGTTTGATCAAATAAAAAGGAATGATACATGTGGAAAGGATTAATTCCCCATAACGTTGGCCGACCAAAGTTCGAGCTCCTACCGAGATTACTTTCAATAAAAAAATATATGTGCCTAACAAAATTATCTACTACATTAGGTTCTTAATATAAGAGCTAATTTGACATTTAATTTGGTTTTAAATATAAGACCTCAATCCACTTTGTCTTTAATATTTATCCATTTTTTAAAGCAATCTTTATAGTAGTTACACATGTTAAATGTTTCATCAAATAGTAATTTCAACTAATACACATAATAATATAGGTATACTATTCCAAAAGTCAACACAAAGCAGTACATCTGATAACCTCCTTCATCAAGATCCACACCTTCTAAGATAGGTGGAGTTGATCAAGGATGTTAAAATTAGCTTCCATACTGTGAGAAGCTTTTCCCAGGTAGTCAACAGCAATCAAGTTCTCTCTAGGACTATAAAGTAGCAAAGTCTGCCAATCTCTAAACGGTTTGTCTAACTTCATCAACTAAATCTATAAATTGGTCATTACAATTAGTACCCCTAGTACAAAAATCTATAGCTTCAAGACAATCCGAGTACACCACAATGTTTACAATTAGTACCCCAGGTATTAACAATATATTTTTTCAACACGTTACAAAAATATAATACATGAATTGTTAATAGTTGCCACGATAGTTGTTAATCATTACATCTTAAGTTGTTAACTACTGCACTTTTAGTTGTCGATGCATACTTTAAAAAAAGAAAAGGAAATTTGATAATTAAACAAATAAAATTAATTGCAATGAATCTTTTGGTACTTGAGATAATTTAATGATTTTCATGGATATTTTTATATTTAATTCTCTTAAATGGGATCTTATTATAATTTTCTCTTAAAAAAAGGTTCGTCCATTGTCCATAGTCAATTCTCGTATAAAGGAATTGCAGCCATAATCATTTGAATGCCACCAATAATTTATTACTATTATAATATTATGAAATCCATGTTGGGGAAACCTATCATCAAAATATTAAATCCGCAAATAAGATCATGATCTAATATTATAATGGGCTGCTATGGAATGTTCCATCATTTCAAGCAGAAAATTAGGAGAATGCAAATCAAGAAAAGGCGCATCAAATCTCAAGCACAATTATCAATCACCCCTCTGGGCTGCTTTTGGAAATAAAGAAATTGAAAGTGGTCAGGAAAATAAACACAGACCATATTATGTCGACACATTTAGTGAAAAAATTGAACAAATATAAAGCCCCCTAAAGCAGCCTATAAGAGGTACAATTTATAGTTAATACTCATAGGGCAGGCTAATTTTGTCTCGAATGCATTCACGAAAAAGCAATTACTATTTAAAAGCCTCAATGTTATTCTGAAAGTTTTTTTTTAATGTTATCCTAAAAGTCTAAAAAATGCATAATGTAATCCAAATTTAAGAGAATACGATTACCCGATTATACTTATAAAATATCCCCTTTTGAAAGAGGAGGAAGTTGGAAACATAATTAAAATCCCTCAGTCCCTTACCTCCACTAAATTACACAAACCTCTAATGGATTCGTTTGATATTAAAAAGATTTTCTTTGCCTTCAAAACATATGCAAATCTCCTTTGAAAATTAAAAAGAAATAAGTTCGATCTTAGGAGGAAAATCATGTGAGGTGTGCGTAATTATCTTCCCTTCTTTCCCCAAAGGATATTTTATAAGTTTTGAAAATAGAAGAGATGTATATATGACGTAACAATATTCAAAGGTCCGAAAGATTTACATTTTATTCTTAGATGAAGTGTATAATAAAATTAATGACAATTTCAGGTAATGAAAACAAGGGGCAGCTTAGATTTTAAGCCTTTTGGCTATTTGAGCAATGTACTTGCCCTGGTAAAAAGCCTGCTGAAGTTCTAGCTGAGTGGGCTGGCGAGATCCGTCAGCAGCGAAAGTTCCAGCACCATATGAAGAGCCTCCCTTAACCTCCTCCATCTCGAACATGCCACTCCCAAATGTGTATCCAACTGGTACAAAGATCATACCATGATGTGCCAATTGCGTTATTGCCGTTAATCTGCCAACACAATTCAAAATGCCAACACCCAAATGAAAATCAAAATCAACCACAAAAAAGATGAAGAGAAATGTGGCTAGGAGTCACTAAATGAATGGGTGAGAAATGCTGCTTTATTTAATGATGTCTTCACCGATCAAACTTCTATAGACCAAGTTCACATAGGCGTCTCCACTATTAAAGTCCAGGCAACAAATTACTCAGGGATGCATGGCAAATATAGGAGTAACAACTATAAATCGCAAAACTAATGAAATCAACATTATTATTTGAGATTGCTCTATTGAATGCTTCAACAATCGAAGAAAGAGCAATCTGCCTTTTTTATCTCGATCATATGCTTCAACTATTCATCCCTAAATTCAACTCGTACGCGTTTTTGAACATTCCGGATTCATTAATTGTTAGTCCTATCACCACTAGGGGAAAAAAAAAAGACAAATGTTCATGCCCCAAAACTAAATCATTGATAGCTAAGATTCAAGAACTAAATAATTGAAGCGTGTACCCCTGACTAAAAAGTCCACTACATCAGTAACAATCGGAAATGGCAGTTTTCAAACTACAGAAGAGAGCCAAAGGACATGTTTCCTGCAAACACAAAGTAGACGTGAAAACTTACGCTGAAAGTTCCTGTCCTCCCCCATGAAAGCCAGTACTCCAGAAGATTCCAGCAGGTTTGCCAGCCAGTGATTGGGAAGCCCAGAGGTCATGGGTGGCATCAAAGAAGGCTATGAACTGGCTTGGCATCATTCCAAAACGAGAAGGAAAACCAAATATAAAACCATCTGCTTCCACAAGTTGCTCTGGCCTAATGTCTTCCACATCATTTGCTTTAGGAGCGGCTTTCATCTTTTGTAATAGGACATCAGAAAGCGTTTCAGGTACCTATAATTTTCAGTAAACACGATTAAAAAAAAAAAACACCACCTCAAAGGCTCTCTTCTCTCTAACTTGATTACACATCCTTGATCAAACGATAACTTACACGCCAGAGAGTTGCTTCTACACCTTCAACTGAAGCAGCCCCTCTGTGTACTTCTCGTGCCATAGTGTCTACATGTCCATATAAAGAGTAATACCTGCAGTAATTGATAAGATACAAAAGACAATAGAAAGTCGAAAATTGGAGGGGCCTAACACCCTCGCCACTACACTCCCCCCCACACCCAAAAAAAAATCCATCCCTACCTGTATCTAAGCGTGTGCATTGTTGCATGAGATTGAGAAGAGGAAATGAGAAAAATGAAGCAGTTGAAAAGATTCTTACAAAACATAGACCTTGGTAGTAGCCATATCAGCAGCCTTGGTTAAAGCTGAAATACTAAAGATGTATGTGTGCTTGTATCTACACAAGGAAGTATGAACAAACAGAACTCAAAACATGGACAATGTTGTTAGTTGGTGAAAATATGAGATTTCAAGAAGTACAGATATGAACTTCATGCATTCAGCTAAAGACTTCAAATGCCTCGAATCCTTTAGTTACTGGGAAATAGTTCATAGAACAAATGTTCATTTCTTCCAAAACTTCAACATTAATGACAGCTATAGAAATTGGCTAAAATCCTAAAGGCTTTAAGAGGATGTTTGTGTACAGGTAGTCATAACAGTATGCCGTTCTGACAGTTAGATACTAGCAGCTATGTTTAGTCTGTTATATCCATCACGTGTATATAAACCCTTAGTGAATGGAATAATACAAAAATCTCTGAATTCTCACACTTAGGATTCAGGAGAATGGATATGAAAGAAAGATAAACGGTATCTTAATTTGACATTTTCTTTTATTTCAATTTGATTTTTACAATGGCCCACCCCAAAAGAAAAGAAATTATGAATAAAAAATAAAAATAAATTAAAAAAGACATCATTTATTAAATGAAAACACAAATTAAAATTTTACCTTTTCTTTTCTTCCCTTCACTCTATCATATTTATTCATTTTTTCTCAAGGTGGTTCTCGTAGTAGTTGCACATATTAAAATATTCATCCAATAATAGTTCTAGTTAGTACACATACAAAGATAGACAATATATTTTTTTGACAGCGAAGACATCATATATTTATTACAAATAATTACCTTATAGCTGATTTTCTTAATTTAGTCAAATTAGTTGACTAATTTTTATATTAAGTATTGATAATACGCTAACAGTAAGGCATTATAGAGCCCTGTCACTGAGCAAAAAGAACTTTCATTTATTCAGAACATTAATTTGCACAAGAATACTCTAGAGAGAATACAATAAAACATTCCTCATGAACGGCTCGAATACAGTAAAACTGGTCGTTGCATCTATATAAGAGAAATGGTAGGTAGGTTCTCCAGTACATGAAAGTATCGACTGAATGATTAGAAACAAATTAACAGGTATAAACAACCAGAAGGAAGAAAAAAGGAACACATACGTGAGGGGGGAAGACAGATTTCGTTAAAAGCAAAAAAAACAAAGAAAAGGAAACTCATACGGATTTTGAAATTGAAACAAATCTCGACTGGAAAAACAAGCTCAGACTGCCAAAAAGATTGGGGGCAAAAAAAGAAAAACTAGAAATCGGAAGAAACCAAGTTGGTAATATAATTCCCATAGTATCGAATAGGTGAAGCGCAAGCCCAGAACGATTGCGCAACAAAATCAAAATTGAAAATAGAAGAGAGGCGAACCAACCTTGAAGAAAAGCTGGTGATCAGAACGCAGCGACGGTAAAAATCGGAAGAGTGTGGGGCTGGTGGGCCTCTCAAGTTTGAAGCCGTAACGTCAGTTTTGCTGGGGGAAGAAACTGAGGCATCAATCCATGAGAATAAGCGCGCTTATATATAGATTTGGAATAACTGGGGCAATAGATTTCATTGCAGGGCAAATGGCATCTGAGGTCCTCTGAAAAAGAAAATTTTGTTCAAAAATTGCAAATTCAAAAAATCTTATAAAAAGGATCACGGCAGGACAAAAATTTGAGTGGACGCCGATTCCATCCTTTTTCTATTTTTTTAAATTACAAATATGATTTTCTCGAAAAATATTCAAACACCCAAAATCAATTATGAATCTAAAGTCAAATAAAAGTACACATCTCAAAATCAATTATAAACATAAAATTATGGTTATATACATGTCAAAATTAGTTATGAATTTAAAATCATGATTATCATGAGTCACTAGTAGCAACTTATGAATAGGATATTTCGCCTCGCACAAAAAAAAAAAAAAAGAATAGGATATTTGGTAACTTATGTGATAATTATGATTTTGAGTTCATGATTAATTTTAAGATAAATATGCAAAAATACTTATAAACTTCTATCCAAATGTCTCAAACACCATATATTTTTTGGGGTTACCAAGATGCACATAAAAAGTACAAAATTATAACATAAATGGTACAACCATCAAAATAACGTAATATCTATTAATTTTTTATAGTGGGACTCATGCTATTTAAAAAAGGAGAATTATTATTATTAAGTCTCAACAAAGATATTTAATTTAATTATCAAAAAATCTGTTAACAACAAAAGATTTTATGATGACAAGTTTTAATATAGAAAACAACAACACATTTAAACTATTTATTTGTTAATTAGGTTTTTTGGTAATTAAATAACTTTCTTGAGACTTTATGATAATTCTCCTATTTATAAAGTAAAAGAAAAAATGACAATAAAATGATATTTTAATTTTGAAAATCCAAAATAGTCACCTTAATAAGGAAAATTCCAATTTAGTCACAAATGACTAAATAGGAATTTTATTTGTTAAAATGACTACATTACCCTTACATCATTTGTGCTTATTCTATAAAAATATTTTAAAAATAAGTTGTTAATTGCGTTACTAAAATTATTAATACTATTAGATGACTTGTTAACTATGTTAAAAAAGTTAAAAAATTCCTAACTTAGAAATATCTCAAATTGAAAAATGCCTCTCAAATCATGTTATGAATCATGTTTTTAGTTATTAATATTATTATAAGAGTTGTTAATTGTATTACTAAAGTTTAAAAAAAATGGGAAAAAATTCAATTGAGGGCTACTGTAGCAAAAAAAAAAAAAAGGCTGTTTGTCCCCTATTCTGAATCTTCACTGCAGCTTTAGAAAATAAATGAATTTATGTTTTGTGCAAAAAGACTAATTTGCCCTTTGTATTTGGAAAAATCATCACTGTCATCATCGTTGTGCTGGGCTTGTTGTCGTCAGACCTTTGGAATCTCCTAACTCATCTTCAGCCATCAATCAATTTACTGGAAAGCGGAGACACAATGGAGCATATATAAGAACAGATAAGGGAGATACTCTATTTTGTCTCTTTCATCTCACCCACACTAGTATAAACCGTAGGCTAAAGATATGCAAATATGAATTCTCTGTAATATTTTTACTATAAGTTCAGCGATACAGAGAATCTGAGCACAAGGCCAAAATCATCAACTAAATGCAACAGCAAAATTCATCACGTCACACAAGATAACGGAAATGCACAAAAGCAAGCACAGGCAACAGAAAGAAAACTCAGAGGAAGAAGCAAGGAACAATCAGAGAGGAAAATGAGATTCCAAAATATTGCTTGCCGATTTCTCTGACAATAACCGAATTTATCCCTCTTTCTCCCGTAACTTCCATGTGGTCCTGCGAGCTCTAGTGCTCCTACGTGGCATCAATGGTGAATCTTCATCATTTTGGGCTGCTTCTGAATCCATTTGGGCTGTAGCTTCTCTAACTTCTTCAGGCCCATTCATGACAATACTCCCCTTGTTGAAGTGGACCTTGTCCTCAAGGTCAAAATGAGGATAGTTCAGCTTAAAAGTATCCAGATTTTCCTAGGTGGCCTGTGACGAAGAATCCCAATTAACCAGAATCTGGTTAATCCAAGTATCTCGAAGTTTAATCCTCCTTGTATCCAGAATATTAACAGGCTGCATGACTGGATTTCCCTGGACAGAAATAGTAGGCAATGGAGTAAACTGAGAGTGAGGGTCACCATAACATTTTTTTAAGTATGAAACATGGAACACTGGATGTAAGCATGACTCAAGAGGCAACTTCAGCTTATAAGCAACAGACCCCACACGCTGTATTATCTCAAATGGGCCATAGTATCGCAGAGAGAGTTTTTGAACCCTGTGTTCTTTCAAAGAGTGCTGCCGATGTGGTTGCAACTTAACAAAGACATATTCTCCCTCTTGAAATTCCATATCAGTTCTTTTCCTGTCTGCATAGAGTTTCATGCGAGTCTGAGCTTTCTTCAAATTTTCTTTTAATTGAATCAGCAAGGCATCCCTTTCATCCAATTGATCCCATACTGCACCAGAGACTTCCAAGGACTGATCCGGCCTAACAAGCATTGGAGGGTCTCTCCCAAATACAATCTTATATGGTGACATCCCAACGGATGTGTGGTATGAGGTGTTGTAACAGAATTGAGCCCAAGGTAAATAGTGAGTCCAAGACCGTGGTTGATCATGAACAAAACACCTCAAATACATTTCTAGACATCTATTTAATGCTTCTGATTGACCATCACTTTGAGGATGGTAGGAAGAGCTCATACATAATGTTGTGCCCTGTAACTTAAACAATTGCCTCCAGAAATGACTAGTGAACATAGGATCTCTATCTAAAACTATGGATCGTGGAATACCATGTAATTTAGGAACATTCTGTACAAAAACTTCAGCCACGTGTTCAGCAGTGAAATTAGTTTTTAGGGGCATAAAGTGAGCAAATTTAGACAATCTATCTATCACCACCAAAATAACATATACCCTTTTAACAGTGGTAGGCCAGTCACAAAATCCATAGCAATGTCCTCCCATATTTGTGATGGAATCGGTAAGGGTTGCAAAAGCCTATATGGGGACACTTGGACAGATTTAGCTTTCTGACATACCTGGCATTGCTGTATGTATCTCTTAATATCAGCTCGCATCCCCCTCCACCAAAACTCAGCAGCCACACGAGCATGTGTTCTAACTGTACCATTATGGCCACCTATAGGGGAGGAATGAAACTCATGCAAAATGGTGTGTGAATCAACGCAGTGTCATCATGGGGAATAACCAGTCCTTGTTTAAAGAATAGTCTGCCATTAGTGACTCGAAAATTTGGATATTCTGAAGGAGATTCAATCACCTTTTGTCGTAACTCAAGCAGAGCGGTGGATGCATTGATGGCTGTCTGTACTCTAGTAAATAAGTCATTAGTATTAAATGACAAGGCCATATAAGAGCGGGACAAAGCATCAGCTGCAACATTAGTCTTTCCCGACTTATACTCTATTTTATAATCATACCCCAACAGCTTTGGAAGGCAAGCTTCTTGCTTTGGTGTTTGAATAGTCTGGTCAGCTAAATGTCTCAAACTCTGCTGATCAGTTCGAATAATGAATGGATGGCCCACCAAATAGTGTCTGAATTTAGAGACAGCTTGAGTTAATGCATACAGTTCACGTACTTAGGCTGAACGAGTCTGCATGCGATGTGATAATTTCTTGGAAAAATATGCAATTGGATGATTGTTCTGACTTAACACAGCACCAATGCCAGACCCTGAAGCATCCACCTCAATGATAAAAGGCTGAGTAAAGTCTGGAAGTGAGAGGACTGGGGCAGTTACCAAAGCTTGTTTTAAGCTGTTGAAAGCCGATTCAGCTTTTGAAGTCCATCTAAAAGCATTCTTTTGCAACAAATCCGTCAGCGGTGCAGCTATGTGAGCATAATGCTTTATAAACTTCCAGTAGTAACCGGTGAGTCCTAAAAAACCACGTAACTGAGAGACTGATGCAGGTGTAGGCCATTCTGTAAC